GGGGGGGGGGGGGGGTTGTAAACTGATATGGTAGCAAGCTCTGGGTTTGATTCCAAAATAGTACAGCCACATCACCTTACCACTCTGAACTTCCTCTTCCACAAATGTAAAAGGGGAGAAGGTCAGGTGCACTGTGAGTCCCTTGTAAATCTAACGTGCTCGTCCTGGGAGATCGACTGCCTGCCCTCAAGGAGGGGCAGCAAGACTAATGCCCCACCAATAGGACAAACAGACTTAGTGGAAGTGGACATTAATTGTGCCTTGCAGGCTGCCCCCAGGGCTTCTTCAGGAATAAGGAAGACCCAGAGCTGGAGAGACTAGAAAGGGAGGAAGCAAATATATTATCCATTTGGATCAATTTAATTGCTGAGATGGGGGATCAAGCCTGGCACTGTTTCTCAGCAGCTGAGGCAGAGAAGCGAGTGCCTTAAGTCACAGAACGCTTTTATTATAAGGAGGTATGGCTGCCAATTCCTCAGAGGATACACACTTTGTGCTGGCCCTAAATTTTAAAAGAATTTTTCACATGTGACCTTATTTACAGGACAGTAAGGACACAGTAGCCTCCACAAGTTTTATGGCAAAAGCAGAAGTGGTTTTTATGTGGCTGTTTCTTCCCAAAACCTTGGAGGAATGCCAGGGGCACACCAGATAGCTTTGCAGCTGAGTAACTGTCTTCTTAGTTTCTGGACAAGAAATGAACTTGAGCATATTAAAAGGAAAAGTCAAACTTGCTAAGTAAACTACACAGGAGGCAAGGCCATAGTAAAGTGCACTTGGTTTCCTCTTAGCTGGGTCACTGGTGGATATACAAACCTGCCTTTCCTTTCCAAGGTACGGGCTGACTTTGTCACCCCTGGGCAAACAGGTGCCAACCTTGCCTGCCTGACTCCCACACCCTGGCCTGGGGACACTGGCATGAAGAGGCAAATTTAGCCATTCCTATCATTAGCCACTGATGGGCAGCATTGAGCAAGCAATTGAAGAGCAAACTTTCAAAAATTCCCTTTGTAAGCAAAGCCATTCAACTTGTATGCAATTCTACCAATCTACTAATTCTGTTAATCTTGAAAATCCAATATTCAGCTGTTTTCATAATTTAAATGGTGTAAAAATGAAACAGCGGCTCCCATAGTAGGAGTTATCAGATTCACTTTTTAATATTTTAAATGTCAATCCATCCTATGAGAGGTACCAAAGAAATGCTAACATTTTCTGGACACAAATTGTGCTGTTTTACATGTACCATTTCATTTAATCTTACAGGAACTCTGTGAGATATTGTCATTATCCCCACCATGCATATAAAGAAACAGGGAGTGCCCGGCCGGGCGTGGCTCAGCGGTTGAGCATCAACCTATAATCCCGGAGATTGTGGTTCAATTCCAGGTCAGGCCACATGCCCGGGTTGCAGGCCCTATCCCCAGTGGGGGGCGTGCTGGAGGCAGCCGATCAATGACTTTCTCATCATTGATGTTTCTCTCTCTCTCTCCCTCTCCTTTCCTCTCTGAAATCAATAAAGATATATATATTTTAAGAGGATTTTCCTGCTGGAGAATAGGTGTTTAAAAAAAAAGAGAGAAACAGGCAGCTCGCCTACTGGAGTGCCTCGTTTAAGGCTGCATAGCCCTATAGTGGCAGTGTGGGATTTGAATAAACCCAGGTAGTCTAACACAGAGTACTTAGCCCTGCGTGCCATGAGATCTGTGGGATCTCACAGCTGGAAGAGGTCTCTAGAGTCCACACTCTTCTGAAGCAGATATTGTCTTCTGCATTCCAGCCTCAGCCTAATGCCCTCTAAACCTTTTCCCTATTTTTCTTATTTTGAGCTAAAACTATCTCAAAATTGGCCAGAGTTCTTCCCTCCAGAGCTTCTTGGAATCAGTTGAGTTTCTTTTCCATATTAAAGCCCCTCCAATTTTTGAAAAATTAACAATAGCATTAATCGTTCATCATTGCTCCCCACCCCTCAAAGAGCCCTATGGCAGGACTGGGGTCATTATTCCTAATTTACAAGTGTGTCCCATCCTGTTGGATAATGAAAGTGCTGAAATCTCCTGACATAGCAGTTTCACAACAGGTCAATATTTGAAGACAGTTATTAATTCAGTCATTTAGTGTTTAGTATGCACCTTCTACTTGTTGGGCACTGGGAGAGGGGCTGGGTTTGCTCTAACACAGGAGTTCCCAACCCTAATCATCAGACTCTTCAGGAGAACTTGTTAAATTG